TTTGCACAGTTTCATCAAAATCAAATCGAATACGATACAAAGATAATAACGTAAGCATTCTTAACAAGCGCTTACGCTGCTCACTGAGACTTATCAGACGAGGTAAGAATGTCGCAACACAATAATTTGTTACTAGAAAGCTATTCATTATGATCAAGAAGGTTTCCTTAGATAATAAGAAATTGTTGTTGGATGATTTATACAGCAAAAGGTAACTGATTGCTCGAACAAGTAAACGAGGAACACCACCAGTCAATTCCAACAACAATTCTGCAAGTTCACTAGTTGAGAAGTCTTCGTGACAAAGAATTTCTGAAACCTTTGGGCTCCCAGGGAATAAAAAGGAAGAACTTTTCTCCAAATGTTCCACGATACTATGTTTCTCAAGCGGCGAAAGAGGAATAAATACTAACTGAACCCTTGAGACTGAAGCTACGTAATTGTATATATTTAAGCCTTCACTTTTCCCAACAACTATAAAAAACAAGTCGGGTTCTTCACACAGTTGACTAATGATACCGATAAAGTCGTTGTAAGGTCGAACTCTATCGTCATGGGTTCTCTTGAAATGAAATTCGTCGAGACTTTCGTCTAGGACACCAACTTCATCAAATGCTATCAGAAGATATTGATCAGAAGGAATCCTTAGTATATCTCGTAATAGTGGAACTAAGTTGGAAGGTTCCATATCCACCTTTTCGAAGGCTTCTTTCTTTGAAAATATTTCAGCGCCAACTTGAGAGTGGGCGGCCTTGATTAACAAATAGTAGACTGCCCATTCCAGGTTGCGTTCTTTCGGGTCTGTGGGCTCCAACTCCCTTAAATCGACGTACAACACTGAAGCCCTTTTTAATTTCTCCAAGAAACCTCTTCGGTTGGCCTTCTCAGACTCACAAACGTGATCGAGACCTATCAGTGCACTTTCACCCATATTATTCACTAGTTCCAAGTAACTTTGTACGAATTTTGTCTTCCCACTTCCGAAGAGGTGAGGACCAAAGGGTATGACTGGTTTGAAAGGGGGACCAAGTTTACGGAGAGTGTATAGCCTAAATAACTGCTTTGTTACTACACGAACATCATTTTCTCGGTCTACTAACACCATGTCATATACGGTTTCTGGTTCAAGCTCACTAGACATATCGCAAGCTATGAAGTAAACTATGCGACAGTAAAATACAACAATGATCGATCAATCTTCTTTAATAGTCCAATGCTCAAACTCTTGATTGAGACGAAAGTCTTTTGAAGCTTTGAACAAGTCTTGATAAGAACATGATTTGCCTCTTAGATAAAGACTATCTTTTTCATTTTTTTGTAATAAAGAGTAGATATTGGTTTGTGTGCGATTGTATATAAAAACAACTTCTCTGAGCTATTAGAAAATAGACCAGCTAAGGAACCTTCAACTTAAGGCGAACTATAAATAAAGTCTTTGACGAATACAAGACCTTGTATAAAACCCAATCGTCAACACTTTAAGACACTCTCCTGAGTAGTAACAAGAAGCAAACAAGACCTGTCAAACTGTGACAGTGACTTTTACAACAATAGGCTTATTTTGATTTTCGTGGTTAGTACCATATTAAGACAATAATCCTCAGAGTGAAAGCAAATAAGTTGTAACCGAGTTTCAAACATACAAAAAATTTTACTTGCTCTTCAAAACAAAGGGAAGGACTGAGTTAGAATCTATTGCCAACTTAAGAAACTGTTACGGATTCTATCAAGTAAATCTAATCCAAAATCCCAAAAAGTAGGATTATGAGAAACACAAAATGCTCTTTCAAGTCCATTCAATATTTCTTTGTCAATCAGCATTTGGACATCTCTTTCACAAAGAATAACAAGTTCACAATTATCAGGTACTTTGAATGAATCACCTCCAATAAACATTCCACTGGAGTAACAACGACTCTAATTACCCAACTCATTAGAAACATTCAATGACAACTTTGTACTAACGATAATAAGCATACAATGATGATAATCCATTGCACTGGATAAGACTTGATCATATACAGGATCTAAAAATTTCTTGGCTTCATCTATAATATCTGACCAGCCAATTCCTTCCGACTTCCAACGTCCTTTACATGCAACTCCAACAGTAAGAACTTTGGGTTCCACAGGAGATTGTAATTGGAATATAATATCAGGACTATGAGAAGTAGCGTCCAAAGGAATGTAAATAGTCTCTAAATAAAGTGTCTCTCGAATAATCTTATTCCATTCAGTATTGGCAAAAGTTCTTCGACTCTTGTTCGATTCACTTCTTGTTTCTCTAGAACTAACAACAGACTTCATATAGTGAATAGGTGATATTGTACTGATTGGAAGTTTCATTTGTTTCCATATTGGAGACAATTGACACAACAATTCCCTCAACTCATTTCGATTCTTTGAAGGCAACATCAAAACTAGTCGTAAAGCAACAATTCCTTCAAATACACGACACTTTGAATAAAAGAAACAATCTACTGGTTCGACATCAAGTGATCCAAGAAGTATCTTTTCCAAAGAAGATATGGAAGGGTCCCTCTTGAAGATCCAACAAATAACTTTTGGAATCAGGACTTGAAAAGTATTCTGGTCAATAGGATATCGATATAGTCCCATCTCAGTTACGGCATCATATAAAAAGGACTCCGAGGTCAATATGTCATCTACTTGAAACGGTATACGATAAAGTGCCATCATCAAAAGTATATCAAAAACACTTTTTCTATCTTCGTCCAAATTCAATATTCGTTCCACAAATGGTTCAGTGCAAATTATTCGGAAATTATCGTCGTTCATACATGTCAAACATTCTTCTTTCGATATGAAAGGCTGATTTCTTGCTATTATATAATTCAAAAGCATATTCACTGCACGAGTCAACAAACCAGGAACTCCACCTGTACATTCCAATAACGAATCTGCCAATTCATTTACTGAAAATGAAGAACTACATAAGACATTACAAACTGGAACTTGAGTAGGTGTTTCAAGAAGAGTCTTTTCAAGGAATTCAACGATACTGGAAGCGTCCAAAGGTGATAAAGAAATAAAATGTAGTATAACTCTCGATAGCCCGAAAGCCACATAATTCTTAATACTTAAACCCTTGCTTTTCCCAACAACTATAAAAAACAAATCGGGTTCTTTGCACAATTGACTAATGATACCGATAAAGTCGTTGTATGGTCGAACTCTACCGTCATGGGTTCTCTTGAAATGAAATTCGTCGAGACTTTCGTCTAGGACACCAACTTCATCAAAAGCTATCAGAAGATATTGATCGGAAGGAATGCCCAAAGTCTTCCGTAGCTCCGGAATTAGAACG